TTTTTTTTTTTAGTATTGCTGCAGCTGCCATTTTACTTGGATCCAGAACTTGTTAGCCTATAGCTACTCTGCCCCATGAACAGTGGTGACAGCAGTTATCAGGATGCCTGGGACAGGTTTCTAGGACAGGCACAGAATGTGCGATAAATACTCTTATCTGACAAGCGTGGTTACCAAAAAGAAGGGAGAAGAAAAACGAACCGTCAAAGTCAAGACGATTTGAAAGTCAGGAGGATGGCAGCTCGACTTTTATACTGTAATTATGAAATTTCTCATTTCCCAGAACCTTCGACTTATTTCCTTTTTTAACGAACGGGGGCAGGCGCTGGAGGCCTGCGGTGGCTTGTTCCCTGGAGCACCTGCTCACGTGCCGTGGACAGCAGGCACTGCCCTGGTGTGTAACTGCCACAAGGGCCATACGCATCAGCAGCAACGCTGAAAAATGGGAGACTATAGTTTGTCTCCTTTTCCTTCCTGCTCAGGTCAATTGTTCCCACTGGGGTGAAGTTCTGTCAATTTAGGAAACTTATTTGCACGCAATGAACAGGGAGGGAAATGTCCTCGCCCCTAAAAATAGCTCAGTGAGACCAGAGCGTCAGGATAAAAGCCGGGATTTACACTGTCGCGATAGGAGCCAGAAAGAGAAGAAAAAAAAAAAAGCAGATCGAAGCAACAGACCAAAGTCAGCGTCTTTTACAAAGAACGTTTCGAGAACGTCTTCCTCTTCAACAGGTATAAATACGTTATTTTAATATTTTTTTCACAGCATCCTTCTGAGGAAGCTGGCTGTATTCATCATTACCTTCAATTTCGCAGCTCCTACCATAACAAGGCAATTCACAGCACTTACCCAAACCCACATAATGAGCCAGAGCTTACAATATTTTCTCACTACTTTAAACCCTTGGTTATAAAATTCCAGCTGCTCAAGTGCTTGGTGCCAATGAGAATCCATAACCAGAAAATCCGTGTTTGTTAATTCTGCTTGTCGAGCCATCAGAACATACGTCTGCAACCTCCATGCATATTTTAACCCTCTTTCTTCCCTCTGTCGTTCCTTCCTTCTTTCCTTCCTTCCCGCCTTCCTTCTTTCCTACCTGCCTTTTTGTAAGAGTCGTATTCGCAGGACAGTGCGATCGGGATCAAACTCAACACAGAGCAGAACAGGGACTCACCTCGATGTGCTGGAACATATACGGGTGGTTGCAGATTTTCCTCAACTGCATAATAGTGTTCATAAGTGTCTTGGCACCTCCTTTCCCCTAAGGACGAGGGGAATAAAGACAGAACAAATGATTAATCGATCAGATACTCCCGGTTTTAAAAAGTAAGCTTTTATAGAAAGGGCCATAGGGTCTTCTAAGTAACCTATGCGTCTTGGGGTCCAAAGCTCCTGTTACACAGCTGTTCCCGAGTGACATAAAACATCTCCCTTGGGACTAACTTGTCCTACGGGAGGGAATTCTGTCGAGACGATGGCTTTGCGACCTGTCTATTCCCCAGAAGCCTGGAGAGAGAAGACAGACCAGATGCCCGGGGAGCGGCACCGGATTTTAAAACCTTCTAAGATGCCACCCCACGCTTAGGCAGAATATAGTCCCTGCAGAAGTGACATGAGCAGAGCTGAAAACTATTTTGGTGAGAGGAACACACTCTGTTCTCCATGCCCCAGTGCAATTTGCAATTGAAGAGGTTAAGAGACTTCCTTCGGCTACAACAAGAGCTAGAGGAAAGGCCCCAAAGTGTGCTTTAACAAATCAGCATTGGCAGGGACACGTCCCGGGAGTATGTGATGTCACGGCCGTGAGAAGACGCATAATGACACCCTGAGTTGCACTATTTTCTGTGATGTACCTTCTTATCCTTCTCGGAACCATCTGTGAGGAGGATCCCTTTGGCTTGCATATGGCGATAGAGAATCTTCTGCAGGGCTGACATGTCACACTTGATCACATATTCAACCTGGGCGAGAAGAAACAGCAAGTAGGTAAGAGGGGGGAGAAGGTGCCCGTGCTCAGAAGGCTGTTGAGGCGTGGCAGCGGGTGCACTCTCTGGAGCCCTGCAGGTGCCTCTGTTTCCCCTTCTTGGATTCACAGAGCGCAGGGTGGGATGGGGGTGGTGGGGGGACCACGGTCATCACTCCTAAAGATACCATTACGATGGAGGGACCTTCCAAAGGTTGTAGGTAACTGAGGCTAGGGTCATGTTTTCTGAAAATTCTTGACTTGTTCCATATTTGAGAAAGGGGGGGGGGGGGC